GTTGATTGTAATTTTACTCTGTGTCCAAACCATCACTGCATTACACTGTCGTAGTGTTGTGGTTGTACTGCCTTCTGCACATATCTCCCACAGTGTCTAGTACAGGTGCCTGGGAGATTTCAAAAGGCCTTCTGGGGTCCTGGACTGCTGAATTAGGATCCAGATCTGAGCTTTCATTGAGTTCAGAAGTTTTTGGATCTGGAGTTTTGCTCTGGGCCTATCACTGGGCCAAATTCTGCTATCAGGTATACTTGTGCAAATCGAGATTTACTCCACATGTATACTGGTGTAAATGAGAGCAGAGCTTTAATATTACTGATTTTGATTTCTTTTTTCCCAAAAGAAACATTATAAACGGCCAGGGATGTAGATCTAAGAATCAGCTCACACTTCAAATCTTATCTTCAAGATTCAAGCCATGTCTGTTTTTCAATTTGTGTCTGTTGTTGCATAAAACTAAACCAATACTTACTAAGTGACCAAACATAAACAAACCAATTCCACTAGGACAGGAAACTCATCAATGTGTTTACAATGTGAAGCATACTGAGGTGAGGTTTCCTTCTTCCTCAAAATATTGTAATGCAATTAGTTTAAAGCAAGAAAAGTCCTGGATCCTTAAGCTATGACTTACAATATGTGACAATCTCTAGTAAATACTGGCATATTAGGTTAATCAATAATGATACCTCTTATGCAGCCTCATCCAAAGGCCAATGAAGTCAATTGGACTCTTTGACTTGAATGGGATTTGGATCAGATCTTCAACTGGAAAAGAAACATAAAAGAGGCATAGCTGAAAGTGAAGTACAATTGCAAACTGCAACCACATAAACATTTTTCAGTTTTAAAATTGGATCACGTCTATCTCCACCTCCATGACTTTTTTATGAATTTGGTGATCATTCAAAAATAGTTACAGGCTTCAAAAGCCTCCATAGTCTTAAAGCATGTAATACAGGCGTTTGTATATTTGTGCTGAACAATTTTCAATACACAGCAAAATGTTTCCAATGCACCAAAGATGACCCTGGCCCCAGTCCTGTAAATGCTTATGCTGATGATTAACTTTATACACATGAGCAGTCCCCATGGGACTATTCCCATGCATAAAGCTACTCATGTACATAGGTCTTTGCAGGATCAGGATCCGTGTAATCTGCACCAAGTATGGGGGAGTGGGGGAGGGGGAGGTTGGGCCCAGTCCTATTCCCATTTAAGTTAATGAGAAAATTCCCATTGGCTTTTATATATCTATTATGTAGACATTAATACCACACATACACGTCCATAGCATCTGAATACCTTTGTTAGTGGTGTGACGTTCCCCTCTGGTGTTATCTGGAGCAGTGATCTGCTAGGTCACTCCAGTCCTTGACTCTGGGAGCCAGCCTTACCCTGCTCTGCTGTGAGAACCCCCACTCCTGGGCTGTTCACACACAGCCTCTGGCATGTAAACTTCTCCTTGGATTGTGCAACTGGATGACACTACCCAATATCTCCGGTCCCAAACACAACCCTAGGAACCTCCATCTTGCAGTGTCCAATTATGCCTACTGGACCCTGCAAGTTTATATGAGTTCATCAATTTAACAAAGAAATTGATGTGCACCAGGTTTGTTATTCCAAGGGGAGTGTCTGACATGCTTCAAACCAAATGCACTGCTTCAGGTAGACTAAACAAATAGATTTATTAACTAGAAAGACAGATGTTAAGTGATTATAAATCAAAGCATAACAAGTCAGATTAGGTCAAATGAAATAAAACCAAAACACATTCTAAGCTGATTTTAACACTTTCAATGCAAAGAAACTTAGATGCTTCTCACCACTGGCTGGCTGGTTGTCCTTTCTTCCCTCTTCGCTTTACCCTCTCACCACCTTCAGAGTTAGGTGAGCATCGTAGTCTCAAACTGACCAAAGAAAGAGGGCTGGCTCACTCGAGCGTCCAACAGATCCTTTATTGTTGCCTAGGCCAGTGTCCTTTGTTCCTGTGAGGCTAGGCTGGGTTTGTCTCATACATGCCCTGATGAGGTGTGAACTGTCCCTCTGCTTTTGGAGATTTTTTGCCTGGGCTTGCTTTAAGCCATGAGAATACATTTTCAGCCTCATAACTATATACATGAAATTATAACCTATAGCATTACTGAAACGACAATTACTATAACATCACTATAACAACTATGCTCAGTGCATCATGAGCCTTCCGAAGACACCCAACATGACAAACTTAGTCTATTTCCCCCTCTGAGACCCCATTTCAGGAAGGCAGCCTTATACATAGGGGCACTTATGCACAATTTTAACTGTAAGCATGTGCTTAAATCCCAATGATTTAAGTCTCATTGACTTCAATGGGCATGAAGCACATGTTTAAAGTTAATCATGTGCTTAGGTGCTTTCCTGAATCTACTGTTATAGATAATGCTCTGACTTTGCTGGAGCACTAAATATGTGTCCCTGGCCTCTAACTCACAGCCAGAATCAGGCAGGATTTAGATTTTTGGCAAGCTTTTTAACCCCTGAAAAAAGAATTCTCCTCCACAATAAAGACATAGTCTAGTTCAAATAAAAAGAAATATGGGTCTCCCTACCCATTACTTGTCTGGCAGTTTGTAAATTCCTTTTTCATTCCTAGAAAGAGGAGCAAGTCAAAATCCCAGTTCTAGATCCTTTATTGTTTCTCAGGGTCCTCTGTTTGAACTGGAAAGTAATGGGCTGTTTCTGGACTAGATTGTGCAGAAAGGTCACAGTTACAAATACCACTTTAGAATGTATATTTGCTCCAGATCCTGTTCCAGTTATATTTAATTTAATCCAACAACCCTGATGTCTCTAATCCTATTAGTTTTCAAGATCCTCCACACAGTGTTTATATTTTTTTGTTTTTATGAACGTTTTCTCATCAGCTATCTCTAAGTCCTTGACAGCTGCTCCCTCCAATGCAGAAATTGTCTCCATTTCTGTGCCCTGGTTCTCCTTGAGCTTGACATTTTTCAGTGATAGAGGACAGTACTCTCTGCAGGTCAGTAAAAACACTTGCTTTTAACAACTCTTCTGAATCTATATCTTGTGAATTGCTAAGATAGATATTTATGCTTTTAATTTACAATCTGTCAGTCACTGTCATTGCTAATGCAGTTTCAAAGATCCCAGACCTCTTAATGTTTTTTTCTATGACCCTGAGTTTTAGGGTCAAACACTTCCCATAACATTTTTTGCTGTCATTCTCTGGACAAGAATTGAAGCTGGTTGCCAAATATGAAAAATGATTTTTCTTTTTTTCTTCTTCTTCAAATGTAAGCTACCCATAAATAGTCTCATGACACAAACATCAAATTAACTAAAACACCACATTTTCACTAATTTCTCATGTTGGTATTAACATGAATATTACTGTAGCACGAACAGGCTATGAGATCAGGAGCCACTTGTGCTAGGCACTGTACAAATGTAGGGTAACTGACAATCTCTGGTGGGGAGGTCACATATGGAAATATTTTTATTATTATTATTACAGTAATATTTCCTTAAATTCCATGGCAACGATTAATGTACTTTTATTAATAGGGCTTCAAAAATGTTCTTTAGCCCTCCTGTAACATTAGGAATCTATTCAGGATCTTCATATCATAGCTATTCTTCATCCAGCATTAAACTGTTCAGAGCATAGGTCACAGATGTTAGATATGGAAAAAAGGATGGATAGTACACTTGATCTGAGCCCAGTGTTCCTTCATCTGTACATCAAAGTGCTCCAGGCTCTCAGACACCCCAGAGGAGAACAGAAGAGCTTTCACATTAAGTCTTGAACCACAAGGTGGTTCTGCACATTCTTGTCCGCCACCTGAATCATTCCAAAGAGTTCCTAACATTTGTTTCTAAATATTTTAAAGCCACAATTCCTTTGATAAATGAAAAAGGTTATCCTGATTTCTGGAGGGATGATGGGGATCCCAAATAAACATCAAACTATCAGAGAACAAATTCTGAAATCACCTGGGTGAAATGTGTGGGGCACGTTCAGGGAGAACAGAGCAGCTTCCCTATGAGAAAGGAAATCCGGAAGAACTGCAACCCTGAGCCTGACACTCTCACTCTGTCTGGAGCACTGTGCGGGGAAACGTGTCCCCCAGCAACAGCTCCATTGATCTCATGGCATTAGTCATCTGTGTGAAGTTATGTACTTGTTTACAGGCTGGGGGCTAAAAGACACAGAGAAGAGAAGCAGGAAGGATTGGCTGGGGAGCCCAGGCAGGGCAGTAACCCAGGGCCAGATCCTGCAAACACTGCCTATCAGGTGCACGCTCCCTGCAGCTGCCAGGGGGCAGGGATTGGGGTAGTGGACCCCCGCCTGTTTTCCTATTGCTCAGTGAGTTTGGTGGGCTAGAAGGTGCCTAGCTGGCTCTGGGGCACTGACAGGGCAGTGATGGGTGACCAAGGCTTGGCTTTCTTCCCTGCTCCTTGCTGCTAGGGGCCAAGGCTCGCTGCTGGGCTCTACTGGCAGGACTTGTGGGGACGATTCCTGGCGATCCTCCCGCTGACTAAGCTGGGCCTAGGGCTGGCCAACCCCCCGGGAGTCTCCAGGAATTAAAGATTAATCTTTGATTAAAGATGATGTCATGTGATGAAACCTCCAGGCATATGTCCAACCCTGAGCCGCGGCCGGGCTGGGCCCCCCAGGCGGGTTACCTCTCCCCACCCAGGCAGGGGCAGGGGCAGGGGCAGGCAGCAGCCGCCGCCCCTCCCCGGCCCAGCCACGCGGCCGCTCTCTCGGAGGGGACCCGCCCCAGGCCAGGCGGGGACTAGCCCCGCTTCCTGCGGCGAGCCCCTGGCGTCGGCGGCCGGGACTGCAGCGGGAGGAGGGGCGGGGGCAGCGGCCTCGGCGGCGCCCAGCTCGGAGCGGGGAAGCAGCAGCCAGCCGCACTGCCGCCGCCGGGAGCCTTGAGCGCCGCTGCCCCCGCGCCGCAGCCCGCTGCATCCCCCCAGGTAGGCGCCGCTCGCTGCCCGGGCCAGGCGGGATCTCAGCCCCGCCCGCTGCCCGCGGGGAGCCGGCTCCGTTAGACGGGAACCCGGCAGCTCGGCATCCTCCGCCCTGCGCTGTGCGGCGGTATCTGCCCCCGGGCCCGCGCCCCCAGCCCGCCCGCCAGACCTCGCCCGCAGCCTCCAGGTACTGCCCCGGGGAAGGTGCCGGCCGCGGGCTCCGGGCGCTGGAGAAGCCCTGGGAGCGGGCAGGGCTGGCGCCGTCGCGGTGGGGCTGCTCGAGGGGCTGGGAACCATCCAGAGGAGCCCGGAGGCCTTTCCCCTGCTGGCCCGGTGGGCAGAGGAGCCCTGGACCCGCTCGTTCCCTCCCGGGGGCTGGCGAGCTACCCATCCTGCCTTTTGCTAACCGGGGCAGGCAGCTGCATTTCCGAGGCAGGGAGGGCTGCTCCGTTGGGCAGCCGCGCAGAGCTGGGCTCCTCCAGCAGCCAGGGGAGGGGGGCCCCAGCTAAAGAGCCCAGGAAGTCGGAGAATGCAGCCAGAGTCACTAGGGGACTCTCTCCTCTCCCACCACCTTCACCCATCACTGAAGAGCTGGTTTAAACCGCGAACGTTTCGGTATTTCATTGTGCACAGTCCATCTCCCTCCCCCACCCCCACGTCTTCTGTAGCTCTGTGAAAGCCAAACTTTATCTGGAATCTCAGAATTTCCTCTGCTGACACGGTACGTTTTAGGGTTGCCATCAACATAAAGCCAATGTAGATGACAACAGACGAACCCCCAGCGTTGAAACCTGTAGCAATTTTGGACATTTGGTTTTCTGTTTAGAAACAGTAGGCTTGAGTTACCATGGTAGAAGCAACCCTGAGGAGTAACGGTACAGCAGAGGAAAACAGCACCAGCTTCTAGTGTAAGTGGCATGTTTTCTTGTTCCCGTTCTTCTGGTTTACGAAGAATACAGGTAAAAGAAGTAGTCTCAGTAGTTGAAAGATAAAATAGTCGCGATTCATATGGATTAGTTGAGTTAACCTGTTTTTGTTGATTGGGGGGGGGGGGGGATAAATAAGGGAAAGCTTTGAATATGCAAGCCACACTAAGTTCGACCTTTTGGTATATCTCTTTACAGAGACATGAACAAGGATTATTCCAGTCCTTTTTATGTACTCCGAGCTTAATCAGGAATCTGTGAAAAGGGGTTTATAAGTGATGGATTTGATTAGCACTTCCCAAGGTCTGAGCTCAGAAGAGCAGAATATTTTATATTAGAAATTTCAAACTCTGTATTCCTAGCTCTTATTTGTTATATGTGTGGTTTGGTAGTTAGTAGTAAGATTCCAACGTCATGAAAAGAGATGACCCAAGAGAAAATATAGTTAAAGGCTCAAGAATACATGGCTCCGATTTTTGTCAAAAATTAAAATGACCCTGATTTCAAGATCAGTTTAAAATAGAATTGCTATGCTACAATGTGCTGGATTTTTTTGTTCATTGTAAATGAAATGTAATTTATCCAGTTAACCAGACAGAATTGACCAAGCAAAATGAGTAGCATATGAAAGTCTGCCAAATATACCTTATAATAATTCCATTAGGATTTTTTCCCCAAAATTGATGATTTTTATCTCACAAACAAGTACTTGGGGTATAGATTTGTTTTGTATTCTCTTACGAAATTTACGCTAGGTGTCAGAGAACATAACATTTGGAATAGCACCATTAGAAATATATGTAAACCTTTGCTTGTACAGATCACTTAGGTTTTGAGGATACTATGGAGTATGCTAAGAAAGAGAAAAGCTCTTTTAAAAAAATACATACATGTGAACAGTTGGGGGTGGAAATTGCAAACAAAGCAAAGGAAAAAATGTATGCTGTTCAAATGTAATAAAACTCAGTTAAAAATCTATGTATTTTAATTTCATTTTTGGGCTTAATCCTTGTAGTTAAAAGTCCAGCACTCCTCATTCCCACTTAATGATCTGTATCTACTGAAAACTCCCTTTCACTTCTGTGGTGCAGGGTTGGACCTTGAAGAGGAGTGGAGGGTGCTGAGCATGTCACAGAATTGGGCCCTATTATGATTTTTAAACTAATGGTAACTTGCTTATGTGTAAACATGACTGAATTGTCGCCACTGATGCATAAAGGCCTTGTACTGAGCACCTGTGGTGTCTGAATCATTTCCTTTTCCAGTCTCTCTCTAATCCTGTTAAAAAGTTTGCTGAAGTTTTTGCTTTGTTCTCCTTCAATGTCTGAGTGTTTAAAGGCAGCCACTGGACAGCTCATATGCAGTTTTAGATTTTATGGTATTATTTACGTTGTTCTGTGAATTGGTTTCAAATGTAAACTTTTGGTTCCCAACCCTAAAAATCTGATTACTCTGTACATACACTATTTGTGACCAGTGCCTCCTGGTTCCCAATAGAGGCAATCAGAAGAATCTTTCTGAGTTTCATCACAAAGGTACTTAGTTGGGTGCTCAGCACTTTCTGGAAATCAGGCCTCTTTAGTGTGCATCAAGCTGGGCTCCCAAAAATTGAGGCATCCAAAATCCCTCATCACTGTTTAAAATGTATGCCCACATTAGTGGATATATTTCTGTAGTAAGTGTGTGTGTGTGTTGGGTGGGGGCATGAGAAAGTTAAACAAAACTCGGGTGGCTGGATGGTCAATAGGCAGAATTATACTGTCTTGTGATTACATGGGCCAGAAGGTGTCAGCACTACAGGAGATGCAGAACCTTGGCTTTCTTTGAGCAGTGTCGTGCAGTGACCTTAGAACAACACTGCTTTACTTCAGAGGCAGCGAAACTTGGCCTTCCTTAACTGGAAGAAATATGCTTCCCAACCAAACACCTCTGAATGTGAAAGGAAATGAAAGAGGCAGTTCGTCAGAACAAGTCGCAATAGTGGAAGCTGTGTATTTAATTCTCGAGCTGGGCTGGAGAGGGTTTCTCTCTCTTTCTTTCTGCTAAACATTTTGATGAACCTGATTTTTTTTTTCATTCAAATTTTTTTTTAACTTTTTTGGGGTTTCTTAACCTGAAAATCAAACATTTTTCACTTTCTGAAATCTGAAAAAATGTTTGGTTTTCAGGTTTTCTAAGAAACCCCCAAACTTTTCAAAGGAAAGAGATTTTTTTCATTAAAATCTCAGTGTAGCTGAGAAACCACTTTCCACCCCAAAAAGACTCCATGGAAAATTTTCAGCCAGCATTTTACTCCACACATTTGGTGCACTGGAAGCTTCTCTCTACAGTTCATCCTTTACCTCTCTGTCTTGAGATCTTGTGACATAACACTATTTGGGAACTCAGGGCACAGTGAATGGGGACCTCTGAATACCGTCGATGCTGTGGATTTATTAGGTCTTTTTCTCCCCTTGAGAATGACCAGATACGAGGCTTGCTTCACCCTTTTGGGCTCTGAGTATGCAGTTTGTACCTGCTGTACCTTCAGGCATAGCTCCTTTAGTGGGATAATTCACTCCCAGGGCAGGCCAGGCACTGTTACCACTGTTGTTCTCTGCCAAAGGAAGCTTCTTTAAACTTGTGCAGTAGACACTCTGAATTGGCTTCTCTTTATTCTTATATAAAAGTGCCAAACCACATCCTCAAACTAGGCGTTCCTCTGCCTATCTTGCCTGAGGGGCCTGATATGGTAGGCATTCTCAGAGCAAGCTTAATCTCGCACAAAATGGCTTGTGAAGGAGTAGGTGGTAATTACCTTTGCAGTGGAGCAGAGGGACTGAACCTGGGTCTCTCACCTCCCAGGTGAGTGCCCTAATCACAGGGTTGTAGAGTCATTCTCACACTCTCTTTGGCTCTGTGCATATTTAATTATTTATACACAGTAGAACAACTTCAACAGGGGACACTGAGAGTGCTCTCCCCCAGAATATCCCAGGGACCAATGGTTAGGGTACTCTTCTGACGGGGGAGACTTAAGTTCAAATCCCTTCTCCACATCAGGTAGAGGAGGGGAATTGAACCTGGGTCTCCCACATCTCATTGGGCTAAAAGTTTTATAAGGGAGGACACTAGCACCAACACCTCATCCTCTGTTTCTTGCAAACCACAGTTTAGATGGCTAATTCCAGGAGAGGGTGCAAAGCTGAAAATCCCAGGCACAGATAGGCACCTAAATCCAGCCCAGATTTAGGCACCTCACTCCTTTGGAGAATGAGCCTTAGGCCACATCTCTCTCCTTGACATTTCCTCTGGTTAGCTGAGGTGGCTCCCCTACTCAGTGTGTTGGCTTTTGTGAATTCTAATCTTCAGTGCCTGTCTCTCCCCATGCATTCTATAGGGAGCCTGGATGCCTACATTGGCATTGTGATTCCACTGGTGGCAAGTCACCTAAAAGTTAGGCATTGCAATGCCTAAGGGCTGGTTTACACTACAAAGTTAGGTCAGCTTAACTACATCACTCAGAGCTGTGAAAAATTTCATGCCCTGTGCAATATAATTGAGCTGAACTAAGCCCCAATGTAGAAATTACGACGTCAACCAAAGAATTCTCCCATCAACCTAGTTACCATCTCTCGGGGAGGTAGATTTACTACAGCAATGGAAAAACCCCTTCTATTGCTGTAAAGTATCTATGCACCATTGTAGCCTTTTCATGTAGACATACCCAGAGTCCCTTTGGAGATCTAGCATCTGATCTGGACTGACCACTTGCATGCTGCTGAAGATAACTGCTAAATGCAGCAAACCAAGAGTCAAGTGCTGCCCCATGTATCATACCAGGTATGTCACACTGGAGTGCCCAGGTTTAATGCTGAAATGCAGTAACAAAAAAGTAGATATTGAATGGTAAGAAATGTAATTTCTGTTTGTCAGCTGAAGAGAGACAGTTGTTAGGCAAGTCCTATAACTGGTACAATCAATCTTGATGACTTTTTGATGAACTGCACCCTCCTCTTGCATCGTGACATAGAACTGCTGTTAAATACCTTCCATGCACACTTTGAAAATAGAACAGAGGAAACCCATTTTAAACGCCATTTTGTGAACACTATTACACCTGCTGTATTATGATCAGAATTCCAGACAACTAAAAAAATTTTGGCTTGACTACTAGGAGTTACCTTTCTGTGTGTTGTGGTATACCAAAAGACTTTTTGGTTAAGAAAACTCTAATCTGCCCTCAGAAGGGCATGGCTGGACACTGAGGCCGAGTCTATACTATGGGGATTATAGTGGCATAACTCTGGTGCTATAGCTACGTGAGTATAACTCCGTAATGTAAATGCAGCCCACAGCAATGGAAGGAACTTTTCCGTCACTGTAGGAGCACCATGCCCTGAGCTATGGTAGCTAGACTGATAAAAATATTCATCTTCTGTTGACCTAGCTCCAGCTACAGTGGGCGCTATGTGGATTTTTCAAATCCTGAGCACTGTAGCTATGTCGACCTAAATTGTAAGCGTAGACCAGGCCCAATGAGCTGAAAGAGTCTTATAAAGAGTTCAGACTCAGATCTGTTTTTCTAGATCCTTCAAATCTTTGAGCTTTATGTCCTGTAAGGATCCACTTAATGTTAGTAGTTATCAATATACAGTAGCTGTTAACATTTCTTTTTCTATTAATTCAGAACAGGATTTTGAAATAAGGAGGTTATCTGGACAGAATGCCTAAAAAACAGCAGTCCTACATATTTTTTTTTATGCATGTAGACTATATCAGTTTTAAAAATTTGAAAATTATATAAACTAGCCTTTCCTATTGCCCAGTCAGAAATGATACTATTAGTATAAAATGGGCTATGCTTCTATGATTGATCTGTCCTACAAATGTGGTCTCTAGTGGGAAGCTTTTTACACTAAGGAGAAAAATGTGTGATATACATTTCTGGCTGAAAATATCTGTATGTTTATCCAGGTGTATTGGGATTAATATTTTATAAG